TATAATTTATATTAGTCATTTTGGACTTGATTGTATTCTTTTCTTATTTTGATAGCTTTGGTTGCAATTATTATTTTTAGGGGTATTTTAGGTAGTTTAAATGGTTGAATAGTAAAAAGGGGTATTTTGGAAAGACTATTGATTTATTTTGGGTATTTTCAATAATTTCCCCATTTTGTGAGAGTTCTTGGTGCTAGTGTTTTACAGAGATCGCTAGTAAAGGAAGGAGTACTGTCATACTCTGCATTTCGCTGTTTTGGTGGTATTATAAAGAATAAATTTCTTATTTCGTCCCCAATGTTTGCAAAAAATAGCAAACTTGTCCCTAGACTGTTTTGGTTGCATTCTTATTCCAATATTCCATAAATTATCGAATGACATCCTTGAAGATGGTTTTGTAAGAAAATAAGTATGTGTCAAGGTTATGACTTGACATTTAATCGAGAAAAGTTAAAGGGTCAAAGATAAAAAATTTTGATCGGATCGAACTGAGAAATAAAAATAAATATAAATATATATTATTTAGGAAAATAAATTAACTTTCATTAATTTAAAATTTAAAAATATCAATAAATAAAAAATAAAATTTGATTAATTAAGTTATTCTTAATGAATAATACATTTTTATTATTCCACATTTTAGAATTTTTATATCAATTTAAAAAAGAAAATAGAATTTCCAATGTGTGACTAGTCTATTTTCAACGTGTGACTCTTTGACTTTTGTGCATGCATAATGCATTTACCACTTGTTGTTTCCTTGTATCCAAATCTCGAGTCATGATTTTCTTCAAAATTTCCCTTTCCAATGAAAAAATAAAAACTCATTTTTTACCTTTCCATCATTCTCTTTGAAAGTATAGGAACAAATTAAAAATCAAGAATCCATTCTTTTAGTTGAAAAATAATATAAAGAAAAAATCAACGATCTCTAAATGATGGACATTATTTATCAATACTTATTTGACGGGGAGTAAAATTCAATTTTCTTTTATAAAGTTGGTTGTGATCCTATTTTTCGCTTAAAAAACAAGATCGAAATCAGACAATTCTCTTTAAATTGGTTCATGGATTGGTCTACCATAATGAACGACATCGGCATGATTGTCTTGCCCGATACCCATAATTGCCAACTTAGTTGGTCGGATTATTTTACAAGTCAACAAATCATATTAATGACTTGAAGCCTGCCTTTAGTTTTACTATTTAACAAGTACATTAAAACTCAAGTAAATCGATTAAGGAAAAAGTTGAGTGTACACCATTGGTGTACACTCTTGTACACAGCCCCCTCACAAGTGTGGGGGCCACGATTATTTTATTATCGTGGCCCCCACCTATGTTGTGAGTGGGCTGTGAAACTTGGTGTACACCAAGCACTTAATAACCAACTCGCAGCCTCCGTTCAAAATCAAGGTCGTCAAGCCCTTGAATGAAGAGGCGGAGCAAGCACCCGGCAAGCCCCTTCGGCCACCCGCGGTGCTAGCTCCGTCGAATTTTTAATTTTTTAATTCAATTTCACATTTTTGATAGCAAACATGGAAGCTGGGCGTTTTTTTTAATTAAAACAAATAACAATATTTTTGCCACAACACAACAACATTTTTTTCTATGTCGGATGCTATCTCAACATCAGTTATGCAACTGGTACAGAAAAAATTGATAGAATTTTTTCAGAACAAAACTTGATAATTTTTCATTGGTTTTGGATCCAATAATGGCAGAAAATACACCATACAACACGGCACCTGTATGGTTTCTATGAATAATTCCTTGTATGCAGGGAATTATTCATCTCAACATTTCGTCAAAGTTAAAGTGCATGTCAGATCTTTCCATTTATTTAACCAACAGAAATTAAGAGATTAACCAAGTTTGAATACAACGTAGAAGTTTAAACCCATTTGGCCCCCTTAAAGTTATAATACATTTTTTACTCCAATAAAATAATATTACACGTAAATCGAAAAATTTTCCTTCTTTTTCAACTATTCATTCTCCAAAAAAACGAGTAACTAGTTTGGCACAAACAAGTTCTCAGATCCATCTATTTCACTATGATTTTAGACTCCAGTGGCCATCGATATTTATTACCCCTTAAGAGATCAAGTTTGTGTCCCAATTGCTTCTTTTTTTTTTTTGGCCCTTTTGACTTCTGACGAACTTCTTATATTCATTCTCAACAAACTACTTATCTCATACATATATATATATATATCTGTATCTGTATCTGTGTATGTATTTATTTTTGAATTGTGAAGAACTAAGCCACAATACAAGTCATGGAACAAGAACAAGTGTTCGTAAAAGGTAATTCCAATTCAACTATAAAAGCAAAAGTATATGGAAGATAACTTGTAATGATGAATATGTTAATTATTGTTAGTTA